TGAATTTAACTATGATATGGAAATAAAAACAATGTAAATTAACGACTATAAATATAAATAAATAAATATAAGGGTTGTATGCAAGTATGGACTGTAAGCACATGGCGTGTATACTTGTACCATATGTTAACATGAATTAAAATTTATTGATAAAATACATATATATGCAGTTTTTGATAATACAATCACCATTGTAAAGATCATTAAAGTTACGTTTTAAGCAGTTACAATAATTATTATTGAAGTAATTAATATTAAAACTCAGTCATTACAATTATTTGTTTTGACAGACATATGTTTAATAAAAAAAAAATTTAAACATGATTTACTTGACAAATTTGCAGAATTTTTTCGATACAGTTTCTGGTGTTTCTACAATTATATAGCCATATTGTGTGTACGCTCTGCTTTAGTTTTGTTGAAAAGATATAAATAGGTCATATTCGCAGTTATTTTTTTCAATTATTAAAAAAACTTTGAATAAACTAAACACTAGAAATAGAATGTGATAAAATATGTCGCCATAGGATTTTTTAGTAACTTTTTATATATTGTTAGAGTCCTCTATGAAATACAAAATTGTTGGTACCATTTTATCGAGATAAAATTTGAGATACAAGCAGATAATTTGATTATTGACTTATAAATAAATCTCACAACAGTAAATATCAATTTGTAATACTTTTTCTATTCTCATGGTGTATATCCAATCCAGAATTGCAAGAATTTTTTAAAATAATACTGCGACTATCTTTATACTTTTTTACATACAGTATACTCTGTAGTTACTCTAGTCCTATATATTGAGTTTAATGTCATAAATTTGTAATGTATATTATAATACTTAATAGATTATTATCAAATTAAGCAAATGAATTTCTAAACTAAACATATGTTTTTCTTCAGCATTACGAGAGAAGATATGGTTAAGTCTATTTTGAATGAAGATTAAAATAAACTGTCAAACATGAGCCACTCGTGGCACAGCAAGTGCATTAGAAACTTACAAATGGAATTATAGGCAAACCAGGAAACTTACCGTGATGACGTCGCCATAATTATGGTCAACTAGTAGCTCATCCTTAACGTCCTCTTTGAGAAACGTGTCCTCCAGCAAATCAAACAGATTCATGTCTGACGACATCACTATCTAATATATGAAATTCATACAGTTAGGACACTTTCTCACCATTTACGCTACTATTAAACGAAGCACTAATAATGAAATAGTTGTTAAACAATTCAGCATTTATAACGATATGTGATCATCACCGATTGACGTCAAGTCGTAAACGCGAAACAGCCCAATCTTGCTTCTTGCTTTTACTCTCGCCCCACCCTGTAGTACGTTTTTCGAGCACACACTTTGAACCGTTGAGAAATTTCGTTCAATACCTTCCGTACTTCGTCATATCGACATTCTCACATTTTCAACATTCAGAAATGTTGGCACGCGTAAATTGATGGAATCCTTTCCTACGAAAATACGGTGCAGTACCAAGCTGCCAACGTGGCATAGAGTCATTGATAAATATATATATATATATACACGTATCGTACAATTGTACATACATATACATTCATATACAACTGACGACTTACTGCGCCTGTCACAGGATGCAATTCACAAAGGTGCCTTTTCATGCTGACTCGACGCTCATTGGCTGCGTCCAGCGGACTCGCAGTTGAGTGAACGCTCGTTGCTATTGATGTATTCTTCCAGATCTAAAATGTTGATTGGACGATCTAAAAGAATACGCCAATAACAGTGAGTTCATTCAAATGTGAACACAGCTGTTTTCAGCGTCAATATAATAAATATAATATAAAGCCATGATCCGATCACTGAACTATGAATATAGTCAACGATGTTGCAAACTCTTTGAAGCGTTTTTTAATTGTCAGTTTGTAAAATTCTTTCTTCTAAGTGGTCCATTATATGCTTCAAAGCATTTGTAGCGAGACTTTGACCATATATATATATACCGAAATGAGCATCTCCGCTGTGAAATATAGAAAATCGTGGTACCAATTGATCAGCGCTATTTTAATTTAGTCAATAAGAGCGAATCAGAAACTTTCAGGTGCTCATGCGCACTTACGTTTAGTATTCTTTAGTGAGACGTATATGTCAGCAAGATCATCGTGTGTGTGGAGTTATATTTGAAAGATTACTTTGAAAGATTATAAAATCGCGTGACTGTAAAATGTGCAAAGCATCATAAAGCGCTGTGTGCCTGGTGTGGGCAGAAAAGTAAAAAGGACATTCCATTTCATAGGTAAGAATTTTTATATTAAATATATCAATTCCTGCACACACGTGTTAACGATGTAGGATATGAAAAGTGTTATTAATGTTATTTTATTGAATGTACTAATAAAATTGAAGTGACATTAATTTTGTTTGCGTACCATTCATGTCCATATAGATTTCCAATGCATCGATCGATACATCGATCGCAGCGCGCGCATGAACGCTTCTGATTCGCTCAAATATCGTCCCAACTAAAATGGCGGCTGATCAATTGTGACCAATATAACCAATTGTGATGAATTTTCCTCGATGTTCATTTTAGTGTATATATCAATGGATCAGATGATCAGATTCATGCTGACAACGTTCATGAGCATCATTTGCCTTTGTTTAACAAATGTCTTGATAAACAATAAGGATAAAATGATTTTTAAGGACTACTTTCACTAAACTCCTATTAACTTAACAGGCCTAGTAATTTTGCAAGATTCCGACTAAAGCTGATGTTGGAGACAAAATGCAAAGAGAGAAATTATAAATATAGATTTGTAATACTGATTTATGTAACAAGATTTCTCTCTGGTAGCTATTTGTTAATAACTTATTTTTGTGTTCAATATAGTATGTAAAATTACAGTTAATTATAATTAGTGAAATATGTTTAACTCTTCAATTCATATTTTTTCTCCAACATCAGCTGCAGTTGGAATCCTGCAAAGTTGCTAGACCCGTTAAGTAATCGGAGCTTGGTGAAAATGATCCTAATGATCCTTGTGAGCGTGAATCGGACCGCGTAGGCCACGTGATAAAATTGATGAATATGAAGTGTCAATTTTGATCACGCGATTTACTTGACGCTAAAAATGAGCATCGAGAATCAGCATGAAAAGGTACCTTAATGCTGTAAATGCATCAACCAATGCATTAACCAATCAAAAGAAAGAATTTAGATGCATTTCGTTTTACGCATTTTATCCTTATTTTTCACAAAATATTAAAGAAAGATAAAATAATATTGGGTCATCTAAAAAATATCCACGGTTTTTTGTCACTAGATGTGTGTTGATGGTCATATATCTAATGACAAAGTACCGCGGATACTTTTTAGATGACCCAATATATTATGCACATCATGCGTAAAATGGAACGCAACCTTTTACAAATTAACCAATCAGAGAACGCTTTAAAGCCTTTGTAGAATAAAGTAAATCATACCTGAACGTACTAACAGACTACGCAGACGCCCTGCAGAATAAAAATTGGTAATTCAAACTTAACCAATCAGAACAAAACGGATTAAAATTGAACTTACTTAAAATTGAACGGATTAAAATTGACCTGATTGGTCAACATTGATCAAATTCTAATATTTAATTCGTAATTTTCAATCTCCAATGCGTACACGGGCTTAATAAACATGATAATTCAGTTTTGGCGCTCACGCATTATAAACTTCATTCTATTTTTATTATTCATTACTTGCAGAAAGAAAACAGGTGAAGGTCATAGTGCGTGAGCGCCGAAACTGAACGTATGTATTTATAACATTAATTACATACTGTGGCTGTGTTCGCTTTGTCACTCACAACGCTTTAAGCGTCGTTTCATCCTTGTTTATTAAATATTAAACAAATGTTCACAAGTGCTATAAGCATCAAAGCGAACACAGCCTACATCTACAGCACGAATAGTACTGGACAAAATGAAGTGTAACTTTGAACATTTCTACATTTATGTAAATACTCGCTGGTCCTAGCAGAGAACATAATAATGAATCAGGCAAAAAAGTTTCTTAGTTTACTTTACAATGATGATTACAAAAATTCCGTAAACATTCAAAATGCGTATTTTATTTCGTCCAGTACTGTACAAAATATTTGTAAATATTATTCCTTTTATTAGAAATAAATTTTATAATAACTCACTAATAATATTAATAAATTCGTATTTATTTAGATATTTATAATTATTACTGAATATTCAGATATGAAATGCGATATAAAAGAGCAATACAGCGATAATGTTTTATATATAGAATATATTAAGTTACATTATAATTAAATCCGAGCACGAATGTGATATAATTGGTAGCATACGAGATTGCTATGAGCATTGACCCAGAGATTTCGGGTTCGATTCTGCAGACAGATTCAAGAAATTTTCACGCGCTCATAGCTACCTCTTTGATGGTTGGCAAACCATCTAATGCCAAGAAAACTTCTCAAAAATTGCCGTTCGAAACCGGTGTTGTAGGTCTCATATGTCTCTGTGTACAATAACCTGCATGTGCACCAGAGGCATACGTACGAGAGGTAGGCCTTGTCCCAATTTGGGATGTTGCGCCATTGGATTGGATAAATTAAATCCGTTGATATATTTACAGTTTTAATTTTTGTTTATAGCAGTCATTTTTAAAAAATATTTATCTTCGAAGAATTTCTTACACAATACTTTTGTTATCACAGTAATAAATTTTAGTACTTACAATATTAAACTTTCTTTCGGACGTGATAAATTCTGTTAATCTTAAATCAATTCTTATTGCTTTGCTACGTTACTATCATTATATTCTCTAAAATAATTGTATTAATCGTTAATGAAATATAAATTACAGTTACAGTTGTTATATGAATTTAAGATTTTTTTTTTAAATGAGAAATAATAATTTAAAATATAATTATATAATTTAAGTTTATCTTCTCTTGTGTCTTCTTTTCTTACCAATGGAGAATATTTTAAACATTTCTCCTCATCTTTTCATACATTTTGTTATAAGGTAGTTGACGTAACAGCACTAACACCGTGTATTAAAACTGTCGGTGGTAAGTCAACAGTTAATTCTGTCAATGATTGTAGATACTGTCGATACATGTCATCCTCATCCCAAGTATTTGAAGCTGGCGGACCAGGCAAATAAATGAATGTTGTTGCAGTTTGAGAAGAATATTGCCGTATCAGTTGATTAACTCTGATAAATAAAATTAATAAATATTTTTCTCTTTGTAAAAAATTGTAGTTAAAGAATCAATTATAATGCTTACCCCAGTATATAAGCTCGGGACACGTTACTCAAAGCATTATTAGACTCTGTACTTGATTCGTATTGACTTTTTGGCTCAAGCAGAGGTCTACCCTTTAAACCTCGGATTTGCTCTCCCCATTCCGGAATTTTTTTAATCGATGCAGAAATTCTCAGCAAATTCAATGACTTTCGAATTCTGTGCTCATTCGAGATTCTCGGATATTCGTTCATTGAATTAGGAGAATCTGAGATACTTAGGCTTTCATTGCCACCCCCAGTTTCGCAATGGAACACTCTGAGATGTAAGTTTTTCCAACTGGGTACCATATTGATGATACATGCGAGTTGAAGCATGAATAATGACGTTGTATCGAATGGATCTTGATCGGTCGGTTGGAAAAAGTTGACCGGCCATACGTCAATATATTTCAAATTTGAGTTTCTAAAAGCAAATAAATAAATAAATACACATACACATACATATATATATATATATATATATATTGTATAATAATAGATGTTACAAATATTTTCGTGATAATATATATTTCTACTCACTTTGTCAACTGTGCTTTATTTAACAGATGAAAGTTTCTACATAGGCATAAATTCTTCTTCATTCTTAAAACATCCGAGCACATACCAACATATTGAACCGGATCTAGATTCTTTTCACCTGTTGCTTGTCTCAGAGGAAACACAGTGTTATTCGGAAGCGTTGTACTGTTTTCAAACATTGTTGTCGCGTACTGAGAATCTAAGAAGAAATTCTTCGGCGTTTCTTCATCATAAAATCCGAGAACGATCGTATTTGGTTTCATTGCACCCATACCAGACAATCTTATTAAATGTTGCATGCCTTCGCGCACTGTTTTTGTCACAGTCAATTCAATGAAAGCTTTAACTCTCATATGATCAACTAAACTCAACCAGTGCGGATATTCCTCGATTGTAGGATCGTTATTTTGACCATTAAATTTACCAACTTTTATGTGTCCAATAACATAAAGTCCTCCTTTTTTTAAATCATTCACAAAATCGATGAGAGGACAAGCGGAACGTGGACACGCAACCATCAATAACATTTGCGGACGCCAAAATTTAACATGATCTTTACGCGAATCCAACATTAACAAGTATTTTCTAACTTGATGGAATATTAATGCTTGAGATATACTACCCCATGGTGCGTTTTTACTCGGTGAAAATAAATGTAGCACAATGATCAATATTAAGCATAAAATTATACTACTGGAAGCATAAATACTATTAATTATGAACATCATTATCAGTGTTCCAAGAAGACCTATAGTTGCTGTGTGCCATGTAAAGTAATTAAATGTTGGCCTGAAAAGAGAGAGAAGGTTTAAATTTACTTATAAGGGACATAAAATGAATGTTTAAATACCTGAAGTTTGGTGCACTAGCAAGTTCCAATCCAAGACACGCAAGATTGGTAGCCAGATAACTTAACAGAAATAGTACCGAGTTAATTTGAGCAATAGTATTCAACGAGCCAATAAGCAAGATTGTTTGAACCAAAATCCATGAAGTTAATACCGCTGTTATTGGATTGCCGCGCCATGTACCTTGTATCACAAAATTTAATCCCGAACCTAGAAAAGGAATAAAATAGAGATATTTAATTTTATATATACATATAAATTAAATTTTAAAATTAAAAGAAATTAAATTTTTTATTGTCATTGATTACATACCGAATACATTATCTTTGGCTAATGCTTCCAATACTCTGCTAGAACCTATCAAATTGCTTAAACCAGCGCTAAATGTTGCAGTCAGAATGCCAACGGCGACAAATGGTGGCCACATATTGATTGGCATCATGTACATAAAGTTGTTTTGCAGTAAAAAACGGCTAGTAGTAGCAGCCGTCAGTACAGATAGTAAAATATAACATATAAACGTAAATAATACTGCAGATAATGTCCCACGTGGAATGTTCCGACCGGGATTTTTCAGCTCTCCTATTAATTGTCATATGACAATAATACATTACATAAAATGTAAAAATAAAAATAAAAGTTTTATTTACCGCTCATATTTGCTCCAGCCATTATCCCAGTTACACCACTAAACAATACACCAAAAACACTTGCAAAATCCGTCATTGTTCCTCCGCTCGAGTAATCAGCACTATAATTCGAATAGAGATTGTTTGAAAGTGTAGAAGACAAAAGACCCGTGTAACTTCCATTTACATGCTCTGTTACATTTTGTACCAATGTATTTGCATCTGGTATTGGTATCTAAAAGTACGATAAATATTTATTGATCAAAAATTCAAATAAAATGTTAAATATATAAATAAAATATTTTGTATATTTAGCTCATAAAAGTATTTACCTCTATTGCACCCTGAGTTAAAAAACTAATAAAAACACTAGCCAGACAGATACAAACAACTGCCAAAATTGCAACACTAGTTTTTGCAAACATTGCAGCTCCAATAAGACAAACTACAAGATTGGCAGTATTTAGTATAGAACAATATAAAAATCGCCACCATCGACCATCTGGGATGAGTCCAGTTTTGCCGCTCAAATAACCAGATGGACCAAAGTTTTCAACCAAACCCTCAGCACATCCAGAAATGCAAAGCGCACTGGATACTATATTGGCCAAGAAAAAGAGAGTGCCAATAGAGCCACCAAATTCAGGTCCTAATGTACGACTAATCATGACTGCATGTAAATTAATAGGAAAATATTTTTGATTTTTTATTAAACTTAATGCTTTCATTGTTATAAATAAAACAATATTTTATAATGTGTACAGAAAAATAAATTTCTCTACTATCATAACTTATATATTAATTATATCAAATATGTAAGCAAAGTAAACGAATCTGCTGATAAGCTATCTTGAAATGGTGAACTGGCATAGTTCGTCTATCTCTGTCAGATAAATAAAGAAAGATGAAGTTATAGAATGAATAGAGTTTATTTGATGGAAGTAATATGTAGCTAATACTATTGCTCAGAATAAAAAAAAAGGATACAGTAAGCGCCACCACCTTCTACAGCGCCATTGGTCGATATAGCACAGACAGATGCGACTGTGAATAATAAAATACCATATGCTATGATGAACTGAATTAATGTTACAAATAAACCTGCATTACCCACAATATATCCTGTAAAAATTACTAATTAGTATAATCAACAGATACTTATATTCTAGATATGAAACTTTTATAAAGAACAGCTTACCCATTCGTATGAAAACTAAGGCACTGAACATAGACAGTGTAACTGGGCTGAATACACCAGCAAAAGTTCCCAATGTACGAGTATTGTCCATACCAAGAGTACCAAACTCGACATAGCCATCTCCATCGGAATGTGACGTCCTTCCGATCTTAAAAATATTGCTTAGCCGTTGAAGCATATTTCTGCCATTGATCAAAGGAGCTTTTTCACTCGTAATCCTGATATGAACAGGTTCTGTGTTTGTCGAGCCAACTTCTGATGCGATCATCTTAAATCGCTGGATAAAAAATATAATATAAGTAATAATTTAAAACTACGTAACAGATTGTTTTTGAGGTAAATAAAAACTTTACATTTTACTCTCGTTAGTAACAACGTAACAGCTGACTGTATATGACGAAGAGGAAGAGGCGTTGTGTGAACATTTGGAGTAAAATTTACGCTCAATTGAACATAAAACACACTTACGCAACAAATTAGAGTAAATTTTCGGAATATCGTTCACCCAATACTTCACTTGTGCGTATAAGAAAATGTAAAAGAATATATATCTCACTTAGTCATACGATTATGATGTCACACATTAAACTGAACATTAACGTCAACACTGTAATGTCAAACTTGCTCTTCGAAGGTTAATAACCTTTCATTATATTTAACATATCGTATATGCCTTCGTGTTTAGTGTTGAAGTTAGGAATTTCCAGTTATGGTATATATATGAGATATTTATATAATTCATTTGATATCAAAACGATTAATTTGAGATGTCAACACACATATGATAAACAATTATTAAAATCTGATAAATAATTTTTTTGAGAGACACCAGTGAATGTGAAAACAGGTTGGTAAATATAAATTGTATACGTACTTATAATAAGGAAAAAATTCCCTATTATACATAGCTACATTCACGCAATTTAGTGATACTAAAAATTCCGCTAGATAGCGCAACATGATTTATTAAAGAAAATTTTAGTATCATAATAACATTCTTTGAGTTCTTTGCTAAATATTTTTCAAATATAACAAATTCGAATCATTTTGTGTCTATTAAAATTTAATTATTTATCGTATAAAGTTTAATGTATATCTACATACACATGTATGTAATAAAAGGCTAGAGCGTATAATAAATTAGAATTTTGTCATATTGCAATGAGACAATCGCGCGTTAACAATAATTGCATTCTTCAATCATTTTACATATTTCTGACATGATGAAGAAGCAGATGAAACTTAAACATCGGTAAGTAAATTTATCTACTAATTCAATAATTTAATGTGTGAACGTGCGCGTGTGTGTATAAATTTAATCAAACTCTCTTTTTTCAATTTTTATTAAACAAAAAAATAAAAAGTGCATACACACATATATAAATTCTATTTTTTTTTAATTACATATTTTGATATAATGTATATAATTACATTTTTTATTAATTAATTGTCTTTGTATGAATATTTCATATATATTGGGTTATCTAAAAAGTATCCGCGGTACTTTGTCACTAGATATATGACCATCAACACACATCTAGTGACAAAAAACCGCGGATACTTTTTAGATGACCCAATATATTTTTTTAATTTCCACTTTTTATATTTTGTTATAATTGAACTACTCATAAATATTTGTAACAAATGATTCATAATTTGTCATAATCGAGACAATTTCAATTCTCGCCATTTTCTTCTTCATCCTTTTGTTCGTCAAAAACAGCTTCTTTGTCTTCATATTGCTGTTATGCAAAACAAACAAATTTTATATATTTGTCAAAATAAAAATTAAGTATAATTTAACGATATCGATAAAATTTATGAGACATATTGTTCAGCATACTTTCAGTATCAATTCTTTCCCGATTAAAAACTCTAACTCGCGTTCTTTCTGCAGTATAGCTCGTTCCTCGTAAATCTAAAATACATAATATTGTGTGACTATTGTATAAAAAAAAATATTCTATAAAAATAATTCTTGTCTACTTACATTCTATTAAATATTCTTAATATATTCCATTAAAATATTTGTATCATTTTATGAATAAATTCCATGTAATCTTTTGTATCTTTTTTGAGAGCATTAATATTGTAACAAAAGAATTTTATATCTCAAAATTAACTGACTTTATAATGAAGTAGCCAATGGCCTAGATACTCCACAGGATCGGCCGGTTTCTTTGTTATAATTTCACAAAGAGCTTGGATCAAAGGTTTGCTGAAGATTCTTTTTAAATAGATGTTATTCGATGACAATTGTTCGTGCAGACTATTAGACGATAAACTGCCAGATGTAGAATTAATAATAGAATCATTGCTTTTATTGATTTTAATCTTTGCTTGCCATAGATCTTGTAAATTGTTGATGTCGTCCTCACTTAAATTCAGAGTTTTTAAAAGTCTGAAAAAGGATTAGGAAAAGAAAATAGAAAAAATTGCCATCAATTTCTTTTTAATATACTTATCATATTGTATTTAGTATTTTATATATTCTTTTCAATATTTTATATATTTTATTAATACAACGTACGACAATAAAATTTATTTTACAACATTTTGATTATAAATTTTAATTCTGAATATGAAGAATGTCTAAATCTAAAATATCGATTCCAGTTAACCTGATATGTTCATCCGTAAGACCAATATTAATCAATGTCTCGATAAGATTTTCATCCAAATCTTTCTCATGCAAAAATGTCGCGATTTTTTCATCTACTTCTTCGTCTTTTTTAGTCTCTTTTATATTCTCAATTACTTGTATGTCTTCTATCGATTTTTCTTTCACCTGATTTTCCTGCTCATATATTATGTCTTCTTGTTGTTTCTCCAAAAACATATTATCATTAATTTCTTCCATTTTTCTATCAACTTCTCCCACAACACATTCTCAAGTAAAAAAAGTTTATTTTAAAGATTTTGGATCTAAGTTCTCGTTTTGTAATACATCTAATCATAATTGCATGATTATGTTCCAAATCGGTAATATTCCTGTGAATGCGCAATAAGCAACCAATCAAATTTTGGTTCAAATAAACAATATAACAATATTATTTTTTGATATCATATAAAAAAATTACAGTTTGTGAAATTATAGAAAAATTGCTTTTTTATATATCATGATAGTTATATTGCACATCTATTTCAGATTTTATAATAATTTAAATATTCTCACAAAAACATTTTCCGATTCATGGGTGCATTTGGATCTAAGTTTGGTTAACTGTTTCGATATATGCTACAGCTATTATATTTGTTTCCTTACATATTCATATGTGATTAATTGTAAAATGATTATGGTGAAAAGTTGAAATGAAAAACGTATTTAAAAAATAATTTTATTACATTTTAATTTCATTCTTATTTCAAGTCATCGAATGAAATTTTGTGCAAGCCACGCAGATGCATATTCGGCTGATTTTCTTACGCTCTCACTTATATGCGACACTAAAATCGAAAAAATCGGATGGGTTAACGTGGCGAGGTCTTCATCGCGTTTAACAAACGGATCTTCCTGCACTTAAATTTGCATAGTTACCGAGCCATTTACCGTATATATATATATATATATATATATATATATACGTTGGAGTCACGTATTCGCGCATCGAGAGAAGGGTCTCAATTTCTGACCATTGTTATATAAGAATTAGTGCGACGCGTTTTTACGCGGTCTTTATAATTTATGTACTTTTCAAGTTGTGCATTTTTATGCGTAACAACTTCCTTTTTTAATATGATTTAGCAAATACGACAAACATTCTTCATTTAAACAAGTCACTTTTAGAGTTAACAATTTCATTGTCACACTTTTTATAAAGCATCTCGCAGATATCTATAATCGCGTTCCACAATTCATTTCTAATGTTATTATTCATGTTCGTTTATTCTATCGCATACTTGAATCGGGGAAAATAGGTCATCCAGAGTGCTTTATTAAAGTATCGCGAATCATTTCGTAATTCGACTGAGAAAAGCATACATACGTGATAAAGAAATCGTATTTCTATCAATTACTTCTCGATAACAAAAGAAAAATTATATGATTTATAAAATATTCTTGATATATTGAATGAAAACTTATTTTATTGATTAATATTAGCTTTGTGTAGGAATTTAAAATACTTTATTGTAATAAAAATTAGTGTAATAATTTATGAAGAATGTAATATAATTTTCTTCTCTTTATTTATTAACAATTCCATCCTAGTAGGTCAATCATCAAAGGTGAGATCTGATGAAAGATGAAAAGATAAAAGATCCTTTGCTGTAAACTTTTTGTATCATCGAGATAATCTCATAATTATTTTCAATAGCGAGATTGCTCTTGAAAGCCAGCTCCATTATGCTTGTACACAATACTCAACTTATAGAATAATAAAGAGAGGGAGAAAGAAGTCTAATGATTTTAAAAGATTCACAAGATCCATCTCAAGGTGCTGATACGCAACGATATTTTATTTTGTGGATTTATTTTGTGAATTTCTTCGAAATTCATTAATATTGCAGTATGTAAAAAATTTGTTTTTCTCACATTTTTTTTCCCTCAGATTCTATCAATTATAAAAAGTTCGTCTATCACGAATATTACGAACTGAATAAAGTTGCACGATAAGTACTATCTTATCAGTTTGGCGATGTAATCAGTATAGAATTGAATCGAGATATAGTATGGGATAAATCGTTTGCATCTGACAATTGATAATAGGTTTCTTGTAATTATGAAATGAATTAAGCATCATGAAGTTAAAATAAAGTAATTGGAATTTGATTTCTTTCAAACACACGCGTGCTGTTAATTACAAATTTGCAAAGTATATTATTCAGTAATGCGTTCCCATCCGTGGAAAAACATATCACTCGTTACTTATAGCGCTTCATGTCATTCACGACGTTGTCATCGATCGAAATACATTCGGTATGCAGATATCGCTTTTATTGAAATCACTGCCTTATTTTGCGATAACCGTGACATGAAGAGAATATCAAGAAAAAAGATTAAACTCTAGCTTCTGCAATTCCACGTTTCTGTATGCGCTATCGATACGACATATGAAAATGTGTATTACATCATAGATAAAATAGTTTTGCGACAACATGTATAAGTTCGCGTTATCACAAATTTTTTATTTTCATCGCTATATTTTACTTGACGAAAAGATTTTTTAATTTATATTTTTTAAATAAAATTTCAAAATTATGTTTAAAAAATTTGAGATACGTAATATTGGAAATTAAGGGGTACAGTAGCGGGTACTAAAAACAGCAATAAATTCAATAATTTTTTTGTGTAAACAAATAATTTAATATAAAATCAAATTGAAGCACTGGTTAGTGTATGCTTTTTTTGTGAACGCTAGATGTCAAGTCCCGGAGCACCTTCAAAAATATACATACATACTTCTATTCACCGGTAGCGCCGCCATTTTCGATGCAAAAAATATTTAAAAAATTGTTTTATGGACTTTAATATATGCACTAATCAGTGTTTTAATTTGATTTTATATTAAATTATTTTTTATACTAAAAAAATCATTGATTGCTGTTTTTAAGCCCGCTACTGTGGCCGTTAAATAAATCTGTACTCCTTAAATAAATTGAGATAGTATTTTATCGGACGAAAAATTATTAGATTTAATTTGCAAATGCTTTGAAGTTTCTCAATGTAAAATTGTGTGCATTTTTACTCAGAAGCCGTCTTTTCTTGTGCAACTTTCCAGTTCCACTCACGCCTACCTGTGCGGTAAACATGCATCCTGCGCCTAGCAAATGTACGAGCTTGCATTCAGTCAGCATTAGTCAGCATCGGTAACATTGCGATTTATTAAGCGAACGTTTGGTAGAAAGCACATTTCAAATTTTAATTATACTCATTCATTCTTTACTGGCCAAACATTTTCCCCAAAAATCTAAAGTTCTCCACAAATTTATAAGTAAAATACTTTCACTTATGTAATACTGATACTTTCATAATTTGTTATAAAGTTTTTTTACTAATTGACAATTTAGAAAAAAAACTTATTTATTATATTACATTTACATTTATTGATAAAAATTACATAAGAAGTAACAAAGATAGCATGACAAAACGCTAGTTGATATAAAATTAACGCAAATATTTAATCTTAATTACTCTCAGGGGTAAGAATCTAAAGACAGTTGGCGCTTAAAATTTTTCGTTCAAATTTTCCGCGCTGAGTATACGATCGGCCAATCTGATCTCAGCATTGAGCACGGCGCGAAATTCACGTGTATACGAAAATGCTCGAAGACTCCCGAACGTCGTCGCGATCGCGCAGCTGCGAAATATTGCCCACATCAGCCGCAGATAGTCGTTCAGTATAAGCCGCACTCACTTACAGTTGGCCGGCGTGGCTCGTATTAATAGGAGGGAACTATTATTCGTCCATTCACAGTTTCGCACATTGTTGAACTTTGATTTACGACCCCGTGTGTCTTTCAATCGTGATTGAGGAGTTACGTGAAAGTGCTTTCACGCTTTGTTAAATCGCGTCTTGCGAGAACTCGAGCAGTCGTACGATCACGCACACTTACGTAAGTAACGATGACTTAGACAGATCGAATCTTTTATTATAGATAATGCGCAAGTAGCGCGTATATCGAAATGCAAATTTCTATCGTTTTGCCTGACGCCGCGCGCTTTTTGACACGATATGAATCGTTGCGTTTTACAGATGGTTGCAGCCCTGCAAAATGTTGCGCGCATTTATACAGGTCCAAGTATAATAAATTCTAATGAGCTTTTAGAATGGATAAAATACCGATGATATTTGGAGTTGCCTTATTGGAGACACGAGAATCGAATATATATATCCACGACTGTGGGCTTAATATTAGCATAAATTCACGTTTGTGATAACATGATAAAGTGGTTCGCGCGAATTGGCGATAGAAGTGCGACAACGTACAATAATCGTTGCAAGTCACTATGTTATCGTCATACCTAAAAATTGCCAATGAGATAATACGACAAACTCGACAAATTTTCAAGTGAATTAGTTTACGCGTTTCGTTAGTTTTATTTCTTTTGAATCCCCATGAAATAATGCACCGCGAAGCCTTGGCCCGTCTTGTTCGTAATAAAATTATTAATGACTTATACTCTACGTATATCTGCTCACGCGATGGAATCCATCAAGACCGATATTTCGGAATACTTTCCCGATTGCGACGACCTGCATTGAAATTGCGAGTTACAATGAGATTCTATTTTCGGACGGCTCGCGCGTTATTGAAGCTTCTCTCTGGGGTTTAAGAATCGGTAGTTATACGCTAACTTTGATTAAAAATTGCAACGATGTGATAACAAGTTTTACGGCTTTTTAGAAGTTTGTGGCGAAATCGATGTAAATGTCTTAATGATAGCTTTTAGCACGAAATGCACATTCATGTCAGCGTTATATGCATCAGCGATGAAGAAATATTAATAATTGCTTCTCTATCTGCATTTATTTTATTATGCAACTTATAGATAGAAAACTTTAGAGAAAAATAAAATCGTTGAGTGTCTTATTGACGTTTAGAGATAATATTATCAATCTACGTCTTTAGATATAAACAATAGGAGAAATACGATTTCGCAGTACAACAGTTTCGTGGAAACTATAGGTAACTTTTACTATAGGTAAATCGATTTTTCCTCGAGAAAGTATTCCGATTGTGTCTTTACCTTTATCATCAACTTTTCAAACCCGTTTCGCGAGTTGTAATAAATAGAGATACAGAACGTAGCTTTTCTAAGCGATTCTACTGCGATTAGTTTATCTATTGTAACAAAAGAAAAATTTCTCGGGAAACACATATGATAACTGTAATGTTCTTGAGAAAAGAGCGATCGTGGGGTTTATGACATAATTCCCCGTTAAATTTCCCAAGATCTAAAAATATCTTTAGTGAAATAGAACGGCCGCGCTTCTGAATCGGAGCCAGAAAATCGCTACGTTTTCACTCAAGGCGTGATTATCACTTTTCTCACTTTTAATAAAAACTTTCCAAGTTTTCTCAATCCTTTCGACTTTCCTTAGTCATTTGGACCTTGCACCGATGACTGCATGATGCACATTGCACACTCACGTTCATTCATGTCGAATTTAATCGTTTTGCATCTCTTTTCCATGTATAGAAATAAAATTCTTCTCAAATTATTCTTGCGAGCAACGATATGTAATATTACTTCATTCGAATATATTACAGGTATACATATTTTTTATATTATACATATATATTTCACACACACACGCACACACATTTTATATATATTATAAGAATTATATATTAAAGCTAACTTCTAAAAGTCGAAGAAATTCAGAAAAAGGCTCAGTAAAACACGCACACTCAAAAGAAATAAATTCATTACGGATATTTATTTATCACCGAGTCTCTATACGTGTCTTTTAATCCCAACACGTCGACGACGATTCTAGTGAACCGATGAAAAAGAGATAAGTTGCATTGTCGTCCATGCGAGTTCAGTTGCACAGCACGATGAGTCATCGGCCAAATTTAACTTAGACATCGCGTATCAATTATACACAGCTGGTAATTAAACGGAACGTCGATCGTAATCATCAATTCCATTTCGTTATTACAATCTAAACAACAATTTGCTGCTAACTTAATATAAACTTATTAGAGCATAAAAAATTATCTCGCGTATTATCTGCCAATATACAGCGGATACCAGGATTTTGTTATCTATTTATTTTAGCTATCCAGTTTCGAGGTGTCCGACAGGTAGATACTTTCTTTTCGCAATTTTATCGAATCAGGGATCGATTCCTCGTCATCGTATGCTCTGATTAAACCACGTGCGAGAGCATTTGCTTGTATTAACAAAATGCTTCTTGTCAACAGTGAGAGATTAGATTAAATCCTCTTTGCACAATCAAATTTGCTGAGTGGTGGATCTTTGAAATAATTTTACTCGTTGCTTCACTTCCTGAAGCTCCAAAATGTACTGTACAGATAAATTATAATTGGAATACAATTTATCGGAAATAAACGTATTTGGCAAATAACGTACAAAGAAAAATGTCGCATATAATTTTTTTTTTGCGAAAGGAGCTAGCTTCCAACTATTTAGTACCTTCTTATTATGTGCTTTATGTTAGCGACATGCTCCAGTCGTTTCTGACAGATATGTACTATGTTGTATTGTAGAACGGCCAGTATATAAGCAACGGGAAAACGACGCGTGTTAACTCGATATACAAGGAGATCTTTTTTCAACGCTCACGTGCTATGATGAATTGCGAAACTCGTGCATCATATAGTTACATCATAATCGGCGATTAATCGATTGCGACGTCCATAATAATAATCTTCCTACAATGTATAGAGATATCCCCGTCTCCTTATTCCATCTTCTGACAAGTTTCAAGTTGATTTCATAATTTAGGATTGAAAGATCAATTAATGATTTTTAAGTCGTAAATAATGAAAATTCTATTTTCTATTAAATTTAAATAGTTTTTATTTACAGACAAATTAGCAAAATGTGCAGATTAATTAATATCAAATTAATATTAATTAATATCAAATCAATGTTAATTAATAATATTAAAGAAGGTCATCGTACATATCTCGAGATATTTAATTTTATAATGTACGGCTCATGTACGATCATCTTCCTTGATATTGTTGCTAGGTGAACGCCAATTCCAAATTCCAAATTAGTTAAAGAGAATTCAAAGGTGAAAGGTCTGGGACACCTTGTATAGCTGACTCGCGCCAGACGATCATACGAGACGATTCTAATCACTATTGAATAATTACACGTCTTATAATAAAAAGTTCACTTATTAATATATTCCAAAACAATCACAAGATTCGTATTTATTTAGACAAGTATATTTAATAGAGTACTTTCTACAACGTGATTTATCGTTCGTCAACATTAAGCTTTTTACACAGAAAAAGATGGTGGTAACTATTAATTATTTGATTGGGAAAAAAAAAATACGTTCGGTTAATTTTGTTTATTTTGTTTTTCTTTATCTTGCAAAATATATTTGTTCACTTACTGTATTTCTGCATCTTACATTTATATATAATTATAATAATACGAAGATTTTTATATTTGTGAATGTGATCGTGTGTGACGAAGTATTAGCATAAAACCTTCAACCATGTTTTGCATTTTGTCATGCGTTGCTCATCACTCGTCGCAAAATAGAATGTATACGAATCATATTCGAAACTGACACACAATCGAACAATTTCGAATCGCGATGCAGTGCACGAATTGAACAAAACGGAGCGCGAGCGCGGTGAACTAATTGAGCTAATTGCATTTGTTAGACACTATTTGTACGTACCGATTCATGCGATGCATTTTAGTCCGATGTATGCGTGTATTCGCGGCGTTTCTCGCGTCATAAACCCTACCAAGAATATCAAGAAGATCTTCGAGATGTCAACCTTTTTATTTGAAGACTTTAAAAAGTCTTCAAATGCTCAAGCAAATTATTAATAAAATCTTGACGAATTGAAATATGATACATAATTTTCAAATATTATAATCGTGTATGTATCCGTATATTAAAATAAAAAGAAAAGTTGTATTTTTGATTGAAGACGCGAGGGAAAAAATTAAATTAATCTATCGCGCTATACGCAATCGAAAAAACGAGAGACGCACTTTGCACACAGCGACATTATGCAAACGACATGCATATAGTTGCGCATTGTAATCCAGCAGACGTTAGAAGATACGGCACATTATAATCCAACAGACGTCTTAGAAGATGTCTTATTAACCGGGTTAGCGTGACGCGAAAGTGTTTACAGCTTTTTATTGTCATTGGGTTAACAAATTAATCCATCGTCAACTCAGCGGTAGTATTGACCGTTTATCGGTTCTATTAGGTCGGGTCATTCAATTTGAACCGAGCAATTGTCATAAACGATGAATACACGCACGCATATCCAGCAATTATATCGCTCCAAATCGCTTTCCTCTCATCCATCGCCTAGCACTGATCAAATTGATGACGATAACTCATCAACGTAGTAATTAGTTTCGCGAACGTTTTGACAAACTTCATCGTTCTCGCATGATTTGAGCGGGGAAATATTATTATTACTATTATCTTAATTACATTTATATAATTGATTTTCATTATAATTTTACTGTATGTTTTGTTTTAAATATTTGGATAATTATACACAATTTGTCTCTTAAATTTTTTTCACACGCCGATATATAAGTATATGAAGATTTTTATGCAAATTCTTAATAGATTATTTTCATGAAATTAGCTTGCAGGATTGCGGCAGTAGCTATGACAAGAAATCGATGACCTGTATGTGAAACGTTTCTAGACATTTCGCTTAATATCTTTCTTGACGATCGAAATTTGACGGATGAACCATGTCGTCGTCGAGGCCCAGACGACCTAGCGTATCGATCTATGATTATCCGGAACATCTGAATCCGTTCAACGATGACACGACAAATTCTCAGTCACAAGTGCATCACGAGGGTAAATCATCGAAAGATTCCAAGCACAAATTCTGGACGTTTGGCAAAAGCCGAAAGAAAAGATCAAACAGCTTCTCGATCAAATCGACTTGGTGAGTATATTTTCAAATAAATATTCTTAGTCGTACAATTTCTTTGTGAAGTGCTAATAAAATATATACAGTGATAGCGTGAAATTTTTATTAATAATTTTTACAAAGAAAATACAAAGAAACATAACACTTTATATTATGAATAAATAACAGCATCTCGATATTATGAAATATAATACACAGTACTACAATAAAAGAGTTATGGTACATTTTTTCAGCAAATCATTTCTCGCACTTTCGCATTATTTACGTGATTAAAAAAATACTTTCATCAAAATTAAATTAAGTTCCAGTCTGATTAGCAATCAGAATAATAACCAAACTAATCAGAGCTGCGCGAAGAAACCAAAGAATTTGCGCTGCGAACATCGTTATTGAATCGAAAGTTGAATTAACACGCACTGCAAGTACGTACAATAACGAATATAAGTGTGCTTCAAATTATCTGCCGTGATCGTCGACAAAGTGGAAGTGATATTAAGTGGAATGAACATCATGAACATAATCGATGTTTTTAACTGCATATGTGGATAGGAAGGCATTGTCATTCATCACATACGTGGCGTTTTAAGAGATTCGTCTTTCTTTTTTTTTTTTTTTAGTTTTTGCGCGATAAGTTTATAATGTTTATATGAATGTTTTATTTTTCGCTAAAGGCTCGACATTCAAATCGAGCGTATCTATAGCGATAGATATAAAAAGAATATGTTTGTGAAACAAGTATCACTGGACATACATTGGACATTCCTTGAACATTTTCATGATTATTTTTAAATTTGCAAAGTAATGCCGTAGTTCAATTCCGATTTGGATCCTTAATCGACGCAATCGGCGAAAATTTACAGAACGTTGGTGACATAGCACGTTAAATTTTCTAACATATGTCTCAAGTATGTCAAATGATAAACCGCGCAATCTCATCATCTTCGCGTGTGCGTAAATGTCGCATAGATCCGTTAAGACGCAAAACGCGCAACATGATTATTATTATCGCTTACTTCAAAATCAGAGTGTTTCTAAATAAATAAATATATTATTCTAAATAAATAAATATATTATTTTAATTTTATTAAGTAATTATAATTTTAGCATGTAACGTAATCTTAATGTATGCAATTTAAATATCATCCATTTTTCTTTTTTTCTGTTATAATTTAATAAAGTGATAATATAGTTAATATGACAATCAATTCAATATCGATTCTTGTGTTTAGGAATGGATTGTTCGGAAAACGCAAAGAAACTTCAGAATCGGAAAAGAGATCGACGATTACAACAGGTTTGCCTATTTGAGTTAAACTTACAAAACGCTGATTTAAATTATGAGATAAAAAAATATTTAAATTAATTAATGCGTTAGAAAGTGTATGACTTTAATAATAAATGCGGAATTTATTTTTCAAACTGTTTTAAATGTACGTTTTTAAGGGATTTAATTTATTTCACAATTATATTAGGTGTTGGAATTAATTCGTAGCGTTTTTAATGAAAGAATGTTATTTATTTCACATGAGCATTAAAAAATACATTAATGAAAGTACTTCCCATCACTTGTAAAACGCTACGAATTAATTCCAACACCTAATATATTCCATGTAGTTTAATATAACTATAATTGATAATAAACTTGTAAAATAAAATGCAACTTATCACATATTGTAGTTTCGACTACGTACAAAAGAGAGTCTTATGACAGCAAATCGACAGTACCTTCGCGATTATCTAAAGATCAACAAGAATTTGATGAAGCTTTAGGAACTTTGACAAGGAGAAGGAAATATACTTTCGACGATAATACCTCGAGATATAGCTCGAATTTAACAGTAAACGGGGATCCTGCTAGGATCTACGATGTAAATCCTCAAAATACTACAACTTCTATCATGAGCGTCGATCTCACTCCGAAACCACCAGCCAGAAGGTAAACTTTGCCAATTAAAGACTGTAGCTATATTTGAAACTCTGTTGATCTATTAGAATAGAATAATGGAATAATTCTATGATATCTAAATTTAAAAGATGTCCGAAGAAATATTTCTTTTATGAACAAAATTAAATTTTTTCAATATTTTTTTTCCAGATTTGGACAGGTGAGTCCAAGACCGACGGACAAGATACCATCTTTGGATTTCGAAAATAAGCAATCCAAACATAATGGTAGTGTTAATTGTCACGATAAATCGGAAGAAATCCCGATTCCACCAATGTAAGATTCTCTATATATATTTTACTTTTTATAGATATTCTGACAGTAGCAATATTTCGAAACTTTAGTTGCGATAAATATTAAACGATAAAATAAAATCCTTTTCGATAATATGTAAAATAATTTCTTGTCATAAAACGTTAAATACAAAAACAAATACCTATTTTTACTCGAGATAAAAAATTTTGCTTTTACAATACTCACAATTTTTTTCCCAGGCGAAGATTTGGCAATAGATCATCACAAAGATTGAATGCAACCACATTGGATGCTGAGGAAGATTCGACCAATCGATCCGCTAACATTAGCCTGAGAGATGAGAACGAAAATATGCCCGAGGATTACGTTTTCAAGAGATTCAATCAGGACGCTGTGAGAAAATCGAATTTGTCCATCAACAGCTGTATATCCGTTACCAGTACGACAAGTGGGTACGGTCGCAAAAAACGGAGAGCACCGCAACCGCCAAAACAGAAGGAACATTTGGATACCCCTCTGGTATAATTATGTGGATGACATCGATGGTATTTAATAAATGAGCGTAATAAATACAATACTTATGTCATAATTATGTTTTTGCAGGAAGATTATCAATCTACAGCGGAAGCTAATAAAACAGAATCCGAATCAGAAACGAGTAAACTTGAACTCCGAATAACCGAGCCGATCGATATCGCCAGGATCACAAAAAATAACGATGAAATAAAAAATTATGAAGAATTGATCGAGACATCGCCGCGGAAAAAAGAAGAGCAAACCGAATTACATCCGAAAATTACGGAGAACTTAACTGACGACACTTTGAAGAATAATGATAGAAAAAATGAAACATGTGATATTTCTAAAGATTACGAGTATGAGAAAAAAGAAAGGAAGGATTCTTCAAAGGAAAAAGTAGTGCCTAACTCTAATGAAAGATCAGAGAAAACTGAATCTGAAACGAGAATAACTGAAAAATCAAATAAGGAGGCCATAAATATCATTGCTGACGAAATATCATTGCCCATCGAAAAAGATTCCGTAGATGTAGAATATAGGAGAACATCTCAGGAAAAGATCGAAATTATCAAGGATATCGAACAAAAATCTGATGAAGTTTGTCTGAGAAAAAAAGATTCATCTAGCACGTTATCACGAAGCGACAGTTTTTCCGTAAAAGAGGAAATTGAAAAGATTGAAAAGCAGATTAAAGCATTAGAAAATAAAAACGCATCTAAAGAACAAGAAGATACCGACGATACATGTTACGATGATTCGATAACGAGTACTAGATTATCTATCGAAGCAAATCGTCGGCACTTTTTCGAAAATATGGTAGACGGACCATCTGGTCCAATTAAGTTGGAATTTAAGAAATTACCACGCGAGCAAAAGGACATACATGTAGTCAGATTAACGGATACACCAATACCAATCGCAGCGTCTCGTGATCCAGTAAAGGTAATCGAACTACACATCTCCGAACCGATCAGGCATAAACCCGAGCTCTTGGATGAAGTAAATCCCATACCGAAACCCAGAAGACACAGTGCGCTTAGTCTAAGAGACACAACTGAATCTAGATCAAAAGATGAAAGTAAAAGCTTAAAAGATGATGATAAGAGAGGAAAATCCTTCTAAAATTTTTAAGTTTCATCCATATCTTTAGACCATACTTTTAGTCCATATCTTCCTAATGAAATTTTGTTATTTCCGTGATTTCTATTGAAAGCATGATTGTGTTTAAGAATTTCGAAAATCTATTGTATTTTATATGAACTATTATTCAAAGACTGTAAGTACATTCTATGTATCTTCGTTTTTTTATTAGAGTGCAATGATATCATACTAAGGCATCGAATATACTTTTCTGCAAAAATATTTACTGCAGAGAGAATCTAGCATTTCTATTACATTACATAATTACAGTGATAATTATGCATTATCTCATTTATATATTATTTCTGATATTTTACTGTAATACTTAATTATTACTTTCATTATTTATTAATATAAAATAAAGCATAAATTATCATAGAACTATCTTGTGATAAAAATATATAATTCTACTTTAAATCTAAAATTTGTAAAAGTACGCAGAAAATAGGAAGTGACAAGAGCAAAAGTACATTTCTTGCTTTTCAAAAATATGTCACAAGTTATTTATTGTAAAAATATTTTCGTTCGTATTTCTGTAATTCGAAGAAATCGAATAAAAATGACGTTTAACAACGTTTATTTTTAATTCCTATTCGCTTCTGTTTATATTTTATAAATCTCATTAGATTTGCGTTTACAGTCGATACTACTACCGTGCCATCTTGTAAATGTTTTTTCTGCTGATGCATCTGTAAAATAATTATATAAAAAAATCAATATATTAGATATTTGATATAATAAATAAGAAATAATATTTGTAAAATAATATGTACCTTGCTTTTGAAATGTGGCATTATGGATAGCAATCTCGGGACTAATTTGATATCTGCTGCTAAATGGTCAGTCTCATCTTCTGCATATATATCCATTAATGCATCTATAGATTCTGCTATAACCCATACTCTAGTTTCAGTTTTAGAGATGTCCAATAAGAACGTGGAAACAAGCTGTCAGAAATAAATAATTGATATACTTGGATTGAAAATCTAAAGAAACACAAAAATAGTTACCTTTATCGCTTCGTAATTCTTCGAACCTTTTGAATTATTTTTACTCAACATGATCTGTACTAAATTGCAGAACATTCTTATCATATTGATGCAAACATTTATACTGACACATTGTTGTAAGTCATTTAACATCAGCTGAATGTCGTTACAAGTTAACTGATTTAATTCGACGACATTCGCTTGTTCTTGAACTAAACGTTGAAGAATAGCTCTCATGGCAGCAGTACTTGCTTCTACAAGTTTAACATCCTTCTTGATGATCTGCTTAAACTCTGTTGAAATATCTATCCATTTTCTGAATACAGAATATCCAAAATTAATAAAAACTAATCAAATTATAATAGAAAAAAAAACTTATTATTATTCAAAGAATTTGAGAATAATTTACCTAAATAAATTATCAACTCCTCCAAAAACATCAACCTCTATATTGGGTAATAAATTATTTAAACATAAATAAGCTGTGCATTGAATGTTGTAAAATTGCTTCAATGTAGCTTTTCCTTCCTCAGTTTGATCTAATATTTCCTGGTTATTTTTGTCTACCACAAATTTAGTCTTATCCCAAATTTTATCAATTAAGTTACAAGTATTTATGACTTCAACTAGCTCCACTGGAAGTGTTGACGTTATTTTCAAATCTTCATTCATAGAATCATCATCCAAACATTCAGACTCAAGCTCCATTGTTTCAAAATCATCAGTATCAGAATCGATTTCATTATCCTCACATTCAAAACATAAATTTGCTAAAATCTGTAAAGCTTGTTCTTGCATTTCCAATATCTCTCTGTTTTCTTGTACCTTTTTTCTTTTGTCGTTCGAAGAAGCATTGCTTTCATGTGGTAGGATAGACGTTAAGCAAGACAAAATTTGTCCATGATCAATTGCAAGTACATCAGATAGTACCGACAACACTTTACGAAAAACATGTATCTGATTGTTATCAGTATAATTACTGATATTGATTAATACATCAGCTACACAAGTTTTCAGGAACAATATTTTGGAAGCGATCTTATCGTCTGCTTTTAAATCCAATAGACTAAACAAAAGTGACTCGCTCCGTTTAATTTTATTAATGGCAGCGTCATTCTCATCAGACAGGCAAATCAGGGATTGTGTAACGATCGTGACAATCTCTGGTCCATAAACGTCAATATTTAAAAACTTCATCAAAAGTGATACCAAATCTTCGTCATTAATACGCTTAATTGCATTCTCATTATTTGCGCATAATATCCGTAATAAACTAACTGCTTGAACAAAAGTCATTTTTTTGTCTCTAACTTCTTCTGGTTTCCAATCTGAATAGTACTATAGATAGAAAATTTATTTAACTTTTAAATATTATTATAAATTGTTATAATCAATTTCAATTCACTTTATGTACTAAGAAATATAATATATATTATATATAGATATTATATAGGATGTCGTGTGGCTTCGTGCGAGAGCGACGGAAATTACGTAACGAGAGTTACGGATTCGTAACTAACAGATCGCGAGTTCAAGTCCCGCATCCTGCATATATGGAAAATTTTCATAATCAAAATTCGCTCTCGGACGCAGTATAAACTATAAATCTCGTTCCAAAATAAAATGAAAGTTATACAAAAGTTGTAATTGACAACAATGTGTTCCTCCGGATTGTGTATATAGAATAAGGACGAATGTTTCTTATTTTGTGTGTCAAAATGATCTGTTATCTATTAGACAATGCGATGAGAATTGAAAGTGATCATCTCTCTAGGAAGCTAAGAGATAAAAAAGTACTTTATCTCTTATATATAATATTATATTATAATATATATAATAGATATTATATAATATGTATGAAACAATATAAATGTTTTATACCTGTCTCAGTAATACAGCAAGAGGAGTTATAATATCATCTTTGATTAGATCATTGCACACTTCCTCTCTACCATTTTCAGCAATTTCCCGTAAGGCATGTGCAGTATTCATTCGTATAGCGGCGTTGTGATCTAATAACAATGGACCAATTATTTTTGCAATTCCATCTTTAGCTATATGCTTCACCATAGAAGAGTCACAAGACATTGAGGTTAATATTTGTAGAGCAGATAATTTTTCTTCAAGATTATACGACTGTATCTAGATAGAGAAAAAAATATTAAGAAGAGACAAACTTTTTTGATATATCTTGTTAATTCTTATCAATTTCATTAACTTAATTTTATAAAATAACGTATAATTGATACGCATCGATAAAACTCGCTGCTCACATCATTGTAAACGTTCTGCAAAATCTTTTCCCTGTCTCCTTCCCCAAGTTCCTCATTCAATTCCTTATCGAACTCCTGAACGGATTGTAATCCAGTGGGATTTTCTTTGTGAAGTTTTCGCCGGTGCGGTTTCTGCTTACCCATCACTGTAAATATTTGAAAAATAATTGAATATATTCAAGTTTAAGTTCTATCTTAAAGAGTTAATTCTATCTTAAAGAGGTTAGACAAGTGCACATATGGAACAAATGCATATGATTGATCCAAATTATCTGACACCTTTAGTTAATTTCGCAAAACTTATAATTAAGCTACTGCATTATCAATAATGAATAATATACGTTTCTGTATTATTAACAAAACATTTATTGATGGTAATGCAGTGCACAACGTAATAACGATAACAACGCCACTGATAGATACGGTATATGCTACACTATCTAATGCAAACATGTTTTTTATCGAATGATGATTGAAAGATCACATCGAATCACATCTGTATAGTAGTTTTTCATTATATTTATTGTTATATATTGTATTGAAAATTATTCAAAATTATCATTCATTTGTCATCATTTAAGAATCATGGAGAAATGGATGCAAGAGAAGTTGTCGGAATTATTGGATTTTCCAGTCTCAGATGATTTGACCCAGTAAGTTTGATGGATAATGAAAATCTATATATTTGCATAATATTAATTATTGTTATCAATTTTTTAGGTTTATTCTGCAGATAGAAAATGAAAGAGACTTAGATGAGTACTTTTCAACCTTATTGAATAATGAAAATTCAACTCACAGGCAATTTGTAACAGAATTGAAAAAGAGACGTGGTGAGTAATAACTAATATTATATAGATATGTTCTAGAAAATTGCCAGATCATTGTTAAATTATTATATTTTTTTATATACATTGTTTTTTTTCAGCCTCTTATAATAATCAAACTGGATACAAAAAGATAAATGACGGCGATAATATACCCAAAAAACAAAATGATAAGAAAAAAGGAAAAGCAAAGGGGAAAAAAAATAACCAAGTATATATGTTTGTAATCTGTTTTTCCAGGGGATTACATAATAAGTAAATTGAACAACTGTTTAAATATTTTGTGCATTATTTTTGCAGGTGCAAGAAGCTGTAAAACCAGAGCCAAAATCTGAAAAAGTGGAAAAGAAAAAGACTAAATTTGTTAATTTATTGTCTCATGGAAATATTCTCTTGAAAGGTATTTATTAATAAATTTGTATGTATATATATGTGTGTATGTGTATAGCAATGTTTCGTGTAAATAATTTTTTTTTTTCAGGAAGGCATAAATGTGATTGCGAAGCAAACAGACATGCATTGATTAACAACTGTCTTAATTGTGGAAGAATAGTCTGTGTACAAGAAGGCTCAGGACCATGTTTTTGTTGTGGAGAACTTGTTTGTTCTCCAAATGAACAAGTATTACTTGGAAGCAATACTAAACAGGGTGATAACTTGTATAATAAATTGATGGATCAAAAACCATATAAGAATCTTGAAGATTCTCTTAAACAAAGAGACAAACTTCTCGAATTTGATCGGAATAGGTATATATTTTTTATATTTCTAAAAATTTTCTATATATTAATTGTCATAAAAATAATTTATAGTGCCCGTCGTACCAAAGTAATTGATGATGAATCCGACTATTATCAGTCAAATAGTATTTGGCTATCCCATGATGAGCGTAAGAAATTACAGAAGCAAGAAGAAGAAGAATTAGCACGCAAACATGCATCGCGTTTAGATAGAAAAATTGCTATAGATTTTATGGGAAGAGTGATAGTTGATGAAGATCAATCCATTAATTTGCAATCAGAAGAACTTGACGAAACAATATCATATGACGACTTTGAAAATACAAATATTTGTCCAACGATAGAATTTGATCGTCCAACAGTAAGATTGTAAATTTTTTACAATTTAGTTGATAATGAATTATACAAAAATTTATTTCTATTATTAAGCCTAAACAATTATATTATACATTTTTATATATTGTTATTATGTTAAGTTTATTGAGATGGGAATATTCAGGACAAGCACACGAATTAAAAATCACACATGGAATAGAGAAGGCAGAATACAAGATAAAGAATATCTAGAAATGTTTGATCAAGGTCTGTGTTTGAGCATGCATCAGCCTTATGCATCTTTGCTAGTGGCAGGAATAAAAACGTAAGTGATATATTAAAAAATAATTCATAAAATCAAAATGACATTAATAATAATGATCTTAATATTACTAGTCATGAGGGTAGAAATTGGTATTCTTCACATAGAGGAAGATTGTGGATAGCATCAGCTGCTAAAGTACCTTCTGCTGAAGACATATCTAACATAAAGCAATCCTACCGCGTATTAAAAAATGGTCAGAAAAAATAAATATATGTATCTTGAAATACTTATTTTATCCTTTATTACATTTATCTTGATGATTCTAGACAAAATTGAATTCCCTGAAAATTATCCTACGAGCTGCTTGTTAGGTTGTGTAACAATAACTGACGTTCTATCTCAACAAGAATATAGAAAATTATATCCAGAAGGAGAAAGTGAGAGTCCTTATGTCTTCATATGTGAGAATTCTTACATGTTACCGATACAATTTCCTATGAAAGGAAAACATAAAATTTGTAAGTAACAATAAAAAATAATTAACAATTTCCATTATTTATAATTAATATTAGGTGTTGGAATTAATTCGTAGCGTTTTACAAGTGATGGGAAGTACTTTCATTAATGTATTTTTTAATGCTCATGTGAAATAAATAACATTCTTTCATTAAAAAACGCTACGAATTAATTCCAACACCTAATATATTGCAACAGAATTAAATTCTTTTATTTTATATTACAGATAAAATGGATAAAAAACTTCATCAAGCCGCTTCCAAATGCTTAGAGAAAGCTATGAAGACAGGTAATAATTAATATTTTCACGTTGTAGTCTCATATTATTCCTTTGTAAAATTAAATAATATAAACTTCCCAGGTATATATGTTTATTTGTGTGAATAATTTAAATATACATGCATTCTATTAAAAATAATTATCTGGTTTTTATATAAAAGTGATTTTTCTGATAATGTATCTAATAAAAATTTTACAGAAATATATAATATGCATATTACATTATTTGTATACAACGGATCATTATTTAATTTACATAAACTCTACAGGATTGTTAAGATATAACCGTTCATGCATGCTTTTCATTTGTTTATTTTATTTATCATACTTTCACGTATTTTATTGATGAAAAAATATTATTTCTACTATGGTTGATATCAGCCTTTTACAAATAGTTTTAAAAATTATTTGTGCTATATCACGCGCGTGCACACGAGATAGAGCATATATCTGAAATACAAACATATACTCTTCTTATTTAAGAAAAGCACGAGGATTATTATTGTACTAAATTTTCATTTTTCAAGTGCCAATTATCTTATTTTATTAATTATCAATATCTCAATGTTTTGCCTATGTAAGAAGCTTTAACCAGAGAGAATCATTTATTCTCTTATTCTCGTTTTAAATTAGGCTAAGCCAGTACAGTCAATATATAAAAAACCTCTCATCTACACTATACTAATAATTAATACAAAAGCTGGATATAGTTAAATTAAAGTACGTTAGCTCAAGCATTGTTATACATCTTTTTCTATTGAGCAAAAGTTTTTTCTTCATTCTCAAAATACTTTACACTAATTGTAAGCTAATTGGTTACATGTCGTTTTGTGTAATATCGACAAGCTTATAAAAACATAATATTTTACTTATCTAACGTACGTACAAAATTATATACACTACAACAATCTAAAACAATGTTAAATAAAACGAAACAAATATTGCAGAAATCTGTTAACAAACAGTATTTAATAAGCAGATCGCATTTCGAGTTTTAATGGTTTGATGAATAAGGAATGTATGAATAAATAAGTATTTATGTGATTACTACTTTTAAATAAATAAAATAACTACTTTTATATGATTTCAATACACATTAATATGGATACTGTCGTAAGACTTTTCATCAAACTAACAGAATGCATTCAATGATATAAAAAAAAATCCTTATATATGTTTACAATGTTTTTTTTCCAATTATATAGCACAATATGTATTATTACAATAGTTATGTATAACAATAATCTGCAACCAATAATACAATAAGTTATTAGTAATTTATATATAGTACATTCTGATAAAGCTTTAACATTCTTGTATCTTTACGGCAAATGTCTAATTTTCTTTTGTAGAACTTGTTAAAAAACTTTCAGTTTATAACATTGCATAGACTATCATTTGCAAACCAAAGAAATTCTCTCTTTCTATTAATCGTTATTTTTTAATAAATAATTTTGTCAATCGTGTAGAGTGGCTATATAAAATTTATTCAGTGTAGTAACAATAATTAATTTGTTTATCTTATTGCAATATTCTCTTTTAGAAACTATATTAAATCAATCTATATGCAGGGAACAAAATTTGATAAAAAATTCTAATTTAGACCATAATTATACAGGAAATATATATATATATACATATATGAAGACAAACATATAATATTAAATACTTTTTAAACAGTAACATCTCAGTGTGTCTCGCGTATTCTTTAATTAATCCTGATAACATTAATTTTATAAGCTTTGGCCTAATATCTGATTAAATTTAATTTTTTAATGACAAACTGTCAAATGTTACAATAATTCTAATAGTTATGACTCTGAACTTACTCAATACTTATCTCTCTCCTCAATAGGCCTCATAACATAATAATACTAATAGAAAGAAAATCGTTATAAGATTTTCCTTATTCGAGACAATTTTAAATAAATATCTTTGTACCTTCTCTGAAGATCAAAATTATGTTATTAACAGTTAATGCAAATTATGTATCTAAGTTTTCTGTATTCACGTCTCATTTTAGGTCGTTGAAAAAGGATTTATGTTGTACGTATAATTCGTTCGATCAATAATTTTATATTTTACATACAATATAATACCTTTGCGCAAACTGCAAATTGTGGCAAATGTGCGAGAATCCCTTCTTTCGCGAAGTTTCAGGCGTTTCAGTCTATTTATATATAGGTCGGAGAATCCTTCAGACTGGTATGACAAGCATCACAGATAGAAACGTTTTTCTCGTTTACCAGCGTGCATTTTGGACATTCCTTGCCGCCGCTGGCGAGCGGCTTGTCCTCGTTTCCTTTGCATCTCGATTTGGCGCACATTTCACAGATGTCTCGATCGGGCATATTTAGATATGTGCACGTGGCACAATTCCATCTCTTTTCATCCTCTGCCTCTTCCTTTTTCTGTTTACTCATTTGCGCGATGTCGAGATTTTTAAAGGAATCTGCAATCTTCTTCGCTATCTGATCCGAAGATTTGTGTGTGCGTGGAATTGGTAAAGTTTGACTGTTGTGCTTTTTATCTTTATTATTTGCATCGATATTATATCTGTTCGAATCTGACAAATCAAAGGACGAGGATTTCTTCTTGAAGGGTAAAATATCCTGATGATTTTTGCCGTTTGTTTCGGACGAATCGATCTCATTCGCTTCAATCCTACTGCTGCTTCTTTTCTTTTCCGATTTATGCGCGCTATACTTGTCTTCGTTCTCCGTTTGCCTAAGCGTCTTGTGCTTGACACGAATAGAATCCAGCTCCTTCTTATGCTGTAACACATCGTCTCGATCATCGAGATCTTTGTAGTAACCTAAGCTCTCAAGATTTCTGTACACAAAATCCCACGTATCATAACCGTCTTTTCCAGCACTGGAATTCGATCTGCTAGCAGTTTTTCTATCAGTTTTACCGTGTTCATAATGATCCCCGTTGCTCGATTGCCGTTTATAAAAATCTATCTCATCCAGGTCTGATATCCGGTGGGACATAGGTTTACGGAGAGTATGTGTTTTTTCATAATTTGCCACAGACACCGGTACATCAAGTTCTATCAGTCTCCCTGTTGGTACTCGAGCTGCATATGCTGGTAACGTGGTGCAATATGGATTCTGTTGCATATTATTACCATAAAACTTGTTACCGTGAGAGGGCAAGCAACCATAGCTAGTGCAACAATTGATGAAACCATGATCGATTGGTTGATAATATCGATAATTAGTCGGCACTGCCATGTTTGTTGTATCTTCGATGTGTCGATAATCTGTTTGACAGGTTGATGGCATTGTTGCGTTGTAATTAGCATGCACAATGTGATGATAAGGCAGATGCAATGGCACGACGTCTATACCCATTTGTTGCTGATAATAATCCTTATAGTTATCGACCTTTGTGCGGTTTTGATGCACTTTCTCGAGGAAACGATAGTTTAACGCTCGAATGGCCTGCTCTGGTGTACCAACGTGATTCTCACGAAATTCCAATACCTCCAGCCAAGAAATGGTGTATTTCTGTGACACACTTTCCCATATCTGCTTTAAAATCTACAATTTAAAAGCAACTTTATCATCTGTTTTAACATGTGCAATTACAACTTTTGCATGTTGAATAATTGCATTATTTTTATTTGACCAATTACATTAACTATTTTTTTTCTATTACCTGACATTCTACAAAAGCTACAATAGCATCCCTACTGACGTTTGAAACCTTATCAGGATCAATTGGCCCTTCCAAAGTTAGTATACCCAAACCAGTGTGCTTATAGCCCATCTGCTCAAACATTAACTCAGCACCTATTAAATTTGCCTCTACCTCATGTTTATAATAGCCGCTGTATGTCTGAAACAATTAAAAAATATGTATATGTTAAACTATGTAGCAAAATACAGATTAATGACAAGATACATTTCAGTTAGTTACCCTCACTATCCTATATTCTCTTCGCCAAGGCTGAGCCAATAGATTAGCCGCGTACAAGGAAATTGCACTCCAAGCAGTTGCTGCTCTATACCCACTGAAATCTGTTACTGTTGCTGCTGATCTGTGTAAAATATCTGCTGTTTCTTGAAACACATATTTATTCTCATTGGGTACTAGACAAAGATATTCCTTTATAAAGCCTGAAATTCATGTATTATATATTCTTAAGTCATTACTAATGTCAACTTTTTTTAAATTTATATATATATATATATAAATTTAAAAAAATTTACACTACCTTCCAATTATTAAATATACACTACCTTCCAATTTATGTCGTTGTAGTAGTTTTAAAGGACTATCATCCGTTTGCAGATACACCAAATGACTCTGTTCCAATTTCATACTAATCTCATGTAATCTATCTTTGCCTCTTATTATTATATCATTCGCCATTTTTATTCCTAAAATTATAACATAACAAATGAAATTTAACTATTTGACAAATATGATGAAATTGTTAGCCTTTACACATGGCTAGAAAAATTAAAAAACACTATCGTTTCATGAAATTCTGGTGTTTTAGAAAATTGACAGCTGATGTGAAAATTTGCTTAAACTTTTGTAAAAACTTTTCTAATAAGATGTAATAATTAAGGACAACGAATGCCGTATAGAAATAGTCAGTATTTATGCTGGTATAGATTACGAACCTCCTAGAAATCTGATTTTGGAATAGATTCCCGATTCAAACTACAACTAGCTCCAACCTAAAAATAAATCCTATATTTAGTAATGGAATCACGGGCTCTGTAAATAGGCCAATAATTTTGTGATTACTTGACATGTAGCGTGATTTCCCATCTCAAAGCACGAGCCATCGAATTAACTTGATGCAGTTTAAACGACGTATGCGTATCTTTACATTTCTCTATAAATAATAAATATTGTTCGTAAAATTTTTTTTTCTTTTTGGTTATGTTCGCGTTACATCATGCACAGAATGTGCAAAGATATGAGATGTATGATCTTTGAAATTGCTTTTTGTATATACACGTGGCACCGCCAGGTGGAAATTATACGAACCACCGATGATTCTTCCTCTTTGTCTCTCTCTCTCTCTCTCTCTCTCTCTCGGTTTTAAAAAGAGAAAGTGTCTCGCGCTTAAAGTAACGTAAGATTGGTGCAATCAAATCTTAAGCAATGTCTGCAGCCTTCAAAAAATCCAGCCATACTCTCATTTTTCGAAGCAATACATAGTTACTTCGATCTGTAAAAAATAATTGATATCACGAGAAAAAAATATATTGATTTATTGATAGACTTCCATTCTACTACCGAGCCGTATAGCTTCTGAGAGTCGATTCTGTATCTTCAAACAAGGGAATCGATTCTGTATCTTGAAACGAGGTGAAAATTACAAAAGTGAGCGAATTTACTAGAATACTAATAATTTCATTGGTCAACATCTAGTAAATTTTGCTCATTTTTGTAATTTTCATCTTATTTGAAGATACAGAATCGACCTCCAGCACATTGGACGCGAAAACACTTGCCGTGCAGCAAAATGTGATGCGATAGCCAATAAGCTTACAGCTCCTAATGTGTTCATTGATTACCGCGTCTCATTTTGTCGCGCGGCAAGCATTTCCGCGTCCAGTGTGCAGGAGCTCAATTGTATATTTTGGAATAAGATGAAAATTACAAAAGTGAGCAATGATTACTAGGTATTGATCAATTAAATTATGAATATTCTAGTGAATTTGTTTACACTTTTGTAATTTTTACCTCGTTTCAAGACACACAATCGACCCCCAGGAGCCAATACTTCTATCATAGACCACAGTGAGTCAGTGGACCAGTATAGCTACGGCCCTAATGTTCATAACTTTTCTGTTTTGGCGCCTATTTTCTCTAAATTCCTTACAAATCTTATCAACATGTATAAAATAAGGA